CGCTGCCGCGATGGTACTCGAAAAAAGTTTCGAATTTCATTGCTGTGAACGTATTGTAATACAATTCTTGTCACTAATCGATGAGCTTCATTGAGTCTTAGAGTGTTACGTCTGTGGACACTCAATTTTTGTGCAAGTTCATGCAGTTTTTGCAATGTCTTCCAGAAATAAGGTACTGTCGCCGCGCCGCAATAGACATCTCTGATACACATCTATAGCAGGGCTGTAAAAATGAGGAAAGAAAAGCATTCTTACTGTCTAAAACGATCGGTTGTCATATTTTGTTGAACATATGTTCGTTTTTGAAATAAATCTTGTGCAATATCAAATAAATTATAATTATTTAATCCATATGGTAAAAGACAATAATTAAAAATAGTTTTTCTATTTTGATTATTTGATTGAAAATGATAATCAAAAGCCAAAACAATTTGAAAAACTTGTTTCATTAAAGGTATTGTTATATCTCTATAAATATAAAATTTATCTGATAAAATAAAATTTCTATAAAATTCAACAATATTTTTTCTCCATTGTTGATAAATTTTTTTTTCATTTTTTTTATAAATTTGTTCAATTAAGAAATTTTTATTTAATAAATTATTAATTAATTGTTTATTTAAATAATTAATTAATAATTGATATTGATCATTATTAAAACGATAATAATTATATTGTTGAATATCTAATTGATTTAAAATAAATTTCATTTGTTTATCCCATTGATGAATTATTTTATTAAATGAATAATCATATTCTTGTTGACATTCAATTCTTAAATTATATTCATAATTTATTTCATTTTGAAATTTTATTTTATAATCATTTATTATTTGTTCATATATAATTGGATCAATATCACCACGTGGATAAATTAATTCAATTTTATTTAAACTTTGTTCAATTAATTCTAATGAAAGATTAATTTCAGAATTAATTTCATGATTATCTAAACAATTTTTAATAAAATTTTCAAATTTTGATCGATTACATTCAAGAAATGAACCATTTAGCCAATAGAATTTCGACCAATAATTTATTTGTTGATAAACTTTATCATATAAACCAAATGGTACATTTGATGAATGTATATTAAAATAATATAATAATGATGTTGAATTTGTTTGTTCAAGCCATTTTTCAATATAAATTTCATTTATTGATGGATTTATTGAATATGATATTAATTTACAAAAATATTCATCGAAATTTTCTTCTTTATTAAATGGAATTGATAATGAAATAAATGGAAATAATGAAGAATTTTTATGAATATATGAATTTATCCATTGATATTCATAACTAAGAATTGATTCAAATGTATTATAAAATAATATATCACGATCAAATATTGTTGAAGAATATTTTAATTCATTCCAACTTGTTTCAATTTCTTTTAGAATATTTATATTATTATCCTAAATAATAAAAACATTTTTTTTTTTTTTTGTTCAAAAATTTATTTATTTGTAATTAGAAAAAATAAATAAATATCGAGACATTAAAGAAAATGATATTAAACTTACCAAAGTAAGCTTTGATAGTGAAACTAACAAAAATTCAAAAATTGTTCATCCTCATAGATCTTTATGTTCGAGTTAGAATTGTTTTATTGAATTTCGACTTAAAATTTTTTCTTATAGTTACTAGATCGAATAATCCGTAGAATATCCTGAAAGTTTTAATCAAAAATTCAATAAAACAATTCAAAGTTGGTTCTAAAGGCTCATGAAAACGAACTCTGTTAGATGTGTTTTAGTCTCACTAAGGCATTCTTATAGATCTAATGTAAGCTGAAGCGATGATTCTCAGTTCGGGTAGTTCTCTGGTAAGAAAAGTTAAACATCAATTTCTATGGTTACAAAACAGATGTTTTTTCGACTCCAGCCGGAAAGTTTCTATGTCATCTGTTGAATGGCTACGTGTTTACTTTTTGTTTATTTCTATCACATAGAACCAAAAAAAGAAATGTTACTATTTTTTGTGTTTGTTAAAAGGATTAGATGATCAAATTGTAAACATTTTTTTCTTCTGTACTTTCTAATTGATAAATACGATAAAAGTCGAACTTTTATTCTTAACTGAAATAAAATTGTAAAAGCGGAAGTACGTTATTAATAACTTTTAAGCGAATATTCTAAAACAAATAGACGATTGATACTTACTCTTCAACGATTTTAGCTTTGGTGATATTTTTTTTTTCTTACAATATTTATTTAAAACTTTGATCAATGAAAAAAATAATGAAATATAAAATAGACCTCATCTTCATATTAATCTCCGCCCTCTTTATACCCTTCATCCTCACTCTCGGCCCATGAATATAACGATAACATATATCTAGTGTGCAATAGCTGTTTTACCTTCGAAAACTGAGACTACCAATCATAATCATTGTTTTTTTTTCTTATAATAGTAGCCTCTCTCAATATACTCTATTTCTTCGATTTGTGTTTCTTTTTTTTTGTTCTCTATTGAATTTTTTTTATCATACGATGTAAAATGAATGGCAGATAATGTCGACACCTATGCCTTTTTTTTTTGAATAGAAACACTTTACAATGAAAAAAAAAATTTATTTATTAAAAAGTCTTATTTAAATCATGCCTAATTGATTTTTGGTTGTACTTTCGTGAAGAAAATATTTTCTGATTGATTTAAACGATTTCATTGAAAAAGATTTTGTAAGATAATATGTAATTATAATTACCTATTGTTTTACAAGGTTCTTTTTTTTTTCTTTTATGAAGTTATATAGAAATCACCATGTTATGGTGAAAGAATTTGTTTTTATTCTCTTGTCGTTCGGCTTACTTTCATATGATTAAAATAAACCATCGATAACTCAACATAAAGAAATAATTTCCCTAAAGAATATTAAGACAGTTGTTGTTTTGAGAACGTGTTCATCAAGGAAATATACTGATCAACATTTCGTCGGACCTCATTCTCAATCAAACAATTTTAATTAAGAGTTCTCACGTCCGTAATTCTGTTAGAATGCTATTATTAGATAATCTTAAATGTGAAATGTATGACACAACTCAGTATATGTCTTTTCTATAAACAGATTCAAATGAGAATTTTTGAATTCTAAAATTTCTTTTTTTTTTTTAATTACAGAAAAGAAGAAAAAAAAAACCCGTTTAGGTTACCTGAGATTGTTTTAATTGTTGAAAATAATAAATTAATTGTTTATCATAATGAAACCAATATTGTAAATGTTTTTCTAAATTTTTTTCTGTTTTATTATCATTAAATAAATCAATTTGATGAAAAATTTGATAACGTTGACATAAAAATTCATATTCAGATTTTGTTTTTATTAAATTATGTATTTGATTTTGATAATAATTATAAAATTGAAAAAATTCATTTTGTATTTTCATATATTGTTCATCAATTTGTTTTATTTGTTCGACGAATAAAGAATTTATTGTAGTATTTAAAAATATTGTACGAATATATGGCCATGCTATTATTAAATGAAGACGACGATTTATTAAATTTGATGGAGATTCAATTATCGATATAAACCAACGCCATGAACGATAATATGAAAATGATAATTCATCATTATTAATCAAATCAAACCTAATTAAATAAAACTTTTTTTTTTGTTTTTTCTTTAGAAAATTCCTGGATCGATGATTTTAGGCTATTCTTATTGTTAGCCATATAGAATGAGACATCCGTACGTAAATGATCATAGATGATTTGTTCACACACTGTATTTTAACTATAATCTAGACTGATATTTTATGACCGTATTTAATGAAAATACGATATATAGACGACCTCGAGACGTCCATAAATGGTACTGTATATTGTCGTTTCATGCACTTTACAGTCGTAAATAGCTGTAAATTGTTGTTTCGTAAATGCAGTATTACGACCGTATTTCATCATGACGTATACAGTTGATAACGGCCTGAAAATCGAGTATCCGACCGTTTACCATACAGAAAAACATGGTTGTCATACTGCGCTTATCATACAGAGCAAACAAACATCGACAATAGCCATCTATGACTGTACTTATTTGATCTCTGGGCTCCTAGAAAACAGCATCATAAACGGTTGTAAAGCGACATAAGCTCAGATCTTTACGTCATCATTTTTCGTAGGCTGATAACACGCTGAAAATAGTAGAAGAAACGATAATTATTTACTACAGAAAAAAATAGTTCGTAAAACGAACTGACGACTTATGGTGAAAAGTAACATAGTATTGTGTATGGTATCGTATCACGGTGATCAGAATCAGGACTCTCGAATAGCTTTTCGAAGTGGAAGGAGCTAAAAGTTTGACAGACGGTCAGAGACAGTTTGTCTCACACAAAGAGATTGACGAGGCAACGTTTTCCAACTGATCAATCGATTTCGAATTTGAACTCTGCGAATAAGATAGACTTGAGTGATACATGAAAAATCCCAACAGGATAAGTTCGTTTAGATCTTCAGTCTAGAGTTATAGACATTTTACTATAACTTTACCCATGTAAAAATAAATCAAGAAAAAACGGGATTTTAATCGATTTTTTTGTGATTAAAAATCGATTAAAATGAGACGATTTTCATCAAATTTTAATCAGATTCCTTGAATTTTAATCAG